GTTAGAAATGCACGATGTTAATTTATTGTTTTGGAGACTGCATGCTTGTGTTCTTGTTGTCTTCTCATAATTTGTATTTGTTGTTCTTTCAAACCTCTCCTTCAGTTTTACAAATCACTTTGTACGAGGATGTCTTTGTAAATCTCGATTATTAGTTTGGTAAATACAACTTGCCAATAAACAGTTACCATGAGTTTACTAATTATTCTATTATTTATTTACTAATTCTTCTTTAGAGTAATTCATTTCACAATTATTACTGTCGCTTTTCTATTAAACCTTATGTGAATCGAAAATTTTCCAGATTATCATTTCACAGGAGCCTACTACGTTATTTTACATATAAACTATTTGTAAACTTCGCATTTTTTCATAGAAATGAGATTTCATGAAAAACTAATGAATTTTGGTATAGGAGCAGGTATAACAAAGTTGTAGAGAATTTAATTCTGCATCTCATGGTATGAAAATATACAGGGCGTTGCGTTAAAAAAATCGAGATTTTTCAATTTTTCAATTGGCAATTTTAACATGATATTTTGGTCACCCTGTATAACGCAGGCCAGTTTTTGGAGCATGATTCGGAAGAGTCATCCTTACTAAACATCTGATAGTATGGGCTTTTAGTAGCTATTAGTATAACCTGTCAGTATCAGAAGATGTAAGCAACCAATACCGACTAGAAAAACCTTTCAAGCGAGATATCTCAAAAACTGTGAATATTTTAATAGAACTATTCTACACAAAGTACCCTTTATTTTTTATGTAGAAACCGAAAAAAATAAAAAATGTGTTTCCATTTAAAAAATCAAAGTTGGTGTTTGTCCAGGAAAAGTGGAACGCCCTGTATAGTTGAATATATTTTTAATTTGTACATTCCGCGAAATGTGGCAACACAGTTAAAAGAAAAATCCATATATTCCTCATTTTAACATAGATATCGGACTTTCCCGCACTAGTGGGACACGCTGTATATCAACAAATAAAGTTGTAAATTTGAGGTTAGGTTTAGAGTGACAGCAGCAAAATCGGCATTCTACTTGCTGTGTATTTCTATTAGCTGTTTTACATTGACAATTTATTGATGAATAAATTGACGAAGTTCTTCATGAATTAATTCACGAATTTATTGGTAAACAGTGTGGTTTTACACTGCTACAGACTTTGTCAAGTTTTTTGACGTATGAATCAGTTCTACCAATGAATCAAAGAAGCAAATAAATTTCATAAATGTCACTGTTCCACTCATAATTGTAGTGATACAACAGCGGTACCGTTCTGACACATATTATATAAATATTACTTTTTGTAAGTAACAAATCAGTAAAAACAATGCAAAACTAGCACGACGCCACACAATTATTTACATATTCCAATAACATAACCTCATTACTGATCTGAGGCTGGAAATCTGTTGGATTGGTACTTCCGAACTTCACGAAGAAATTGACGAAAATTAGAAACATGCTCTAATTCGTCAAGAACTTGATGAATAAATTCATGAAGTTATTTGACAGCAGATTTGGTGCATTACACTTGTCCAATTTCTTGATGAAGCGACTTCATGAATTAATTCATCAATAAATTGTCAATGTAAAACAGCTATATGCGAAGAAAGTAGTATTAATAATGGATTCATCTCTTGAGAAACGAAAGTTAACGTTGCAGTTACGGTGCTCGCCAATTCTACGTGCTGACATTATTTCATAAAAAACTGAGATTCGTCATTTACATTGTCATAAAACTGTTCTAGAATAGTTCTATTTCAAATATTAGAACATGTTAGGTAGCAGAATCAGACAACAACGTGTGTCACACGTCATTATGTATTACGGCGAAGGAAATGACAGATTAAGTAAAACAGGAACTAATTTCCATTAAAAGTTATATCTTTTACATTTTGATGTAGCTGATTCTCTTAAATATTTCCACAAGTTTGTAATTGTGTATATCATTTGATATTTTAAAATCTAAATATGCAACGTTACTCTTGGAATTTACTTTTCAGTTACATAAGGAAAAAGCTTCATTTTCGATTGGAAACTTCGTTAAACAGCAAATTTTTTAAAACGTATATTTCTAACTCGAATTCGCAAGACTAATTATAGTTTTAATAAACAAAGTCATAGTGCCACCAGTCACTACCGAAGTCACGTCATGTGCCAAACATTGGAACCTTGGTAATTTCAAATCAAAATACAGTTAAGCTGTTATTTGAAAACAATGTCTTTCTTTTATTTTCATCCCTAAACTATAGCTACAAAGGAATAATTATTATCATTGCGATTTACGTATTTTACTCATAACCAAAACATTCCCTTCGTAGTTAGCTCTTGAAATCGACCCCCGTTCTCCTGTTCCGTTGTATTTCTAATACTCTTGGCCAACACACATGAATCACCCCTACCGTTGGTAGCACAAAAAAAAATATAAATCAATACCCCAATGCCACGGTAGCAGACCAGAAGGGCAAGCGCCGGCTTGTCTAAACCCCCCCGAGGTACATGTTCGCATCTTTTAACAGCGACATAATGGGGTGGTTGCAGTTAAGCATTTATTTATTGAAGCCCTTCATATCCCGGTATCAACACGTCGTAGCTTTCGTGGGGATGTTCGGCTTAATCAAGCCGTAAGGCCGCGGGGACTCTCGGAACAACTCGTTTGTTATGGAATATCGTTGAACGCAGGTAGAAGTAATTTTTATATTTAGTTGTGATTTTACAAAACGGCGATAAGGATTGTGTTTTGATGTATCGTTTTTGTTTTAATATCCTGTTGTTTAGGGCTAACAGCGATAACTTTAAAGGAATTGTTTCAAGGTCACTCATTCAAGGCGATCCTACTTTTCTTCTTCCTCCTCTTAGGTCTTGTCCTCAGATAAGAGTTTCTTCAACAGTGTGAAGTTATGTTGTCTAGATATGCTTCTATATTAATGTAATTGTAGTTATGTATTTGTTTAAGAGATTATAAATTTACTGATTCCATATTGTTTTGTGTAATGTGTGTTATCTCTGGATGAGAATGATTTAAAAATAAATGTTGTGAAAAATATTTGCGGTCAGTTTTCTTGCAATAAGATAATATGCTGATATTACTTTAAAGTAAGCTTCGCGTTAGGTGGAATTGGATATAAATAACTTCAAACTTGCTAAATATTTGCAATGGTAATCTTCATATTTTTGATATTTACCCAATCCTTAACCAATATCAACGCCCAAATTAATGTTCGCTACAGATTAAAATCTAAAATTTAAGGTGAGGTAACAGCGGCGCAATATTCATAAAAATCAATGTAATGTCAAAGAGAAATATTTAAACACAGATGAAATTATTAATTAACAATGATACATAATCAGATGGATTCTTATTGTTGTTGTTTATGACACGAACAAACTTCTACTAATTTATCAGATTTAAAATAATTTCATTACAATCAAATAAAAAGTCACTTGGTTTGTGGAGAAGAAAAGTAGATTTGAAAAGCTGTCCGTTTTTTGATCGAATGTTATCTGTTACCCTTGAAATAACCAGGTACTGTAACATAGTATTGGTTATTCAGTAAACCCTATATAGTGTAGCTATTATTTAAATATTTTCTGTTTGCAGAAAACTCTTGAGGACACAGGGCCTGATTGATAAAACATAATTTGGTTGCGTTTTGTGATTCAAAGTATATACGACACTTCGAAATTAGTGTTTTTCCGATAATTCGGGAATTATCGGGAAAACATTACTTAATTTGATAATTTGTGATTACGTGAATCAGTTTAAAATTGCGCCATTCTTGCCTAATTTGCTCAACATAGATATTTTGAATTAGACTGAAAGTTTCAACCACAGTAAGAACAAAATAAAAGGTCACGATAAGATAAAACCGATGTGGTTAATAAAATAAGTCGTAACATATCTTGTAATCATTTTAGTAGAAAAACATCAGCGACATTTTTTAAATAGTCAGATTTCAGTCGTTTTCCCTTCGCAAAACAACACAAATGGTGGATTAATATAAAATTACTCCCGATTTTGCTTAATATTTTTCCAATTCAGAACACGGGCAACAAATAAAAGCTCTACTTTGTACAGTACGTGAAAAATAACACGGTATCCCAGATAATCTATATTGCCATGCCTGAAACATTTTCCAACGCGATCTAAGATGGTCCCAGATCCTAGAAAACAGTTGAACGTTGGAGAACAGTCGAGTTTGTTTACAATATTACACTGTACGTCTATTTTTTCGATCGGGTTTCTAATAACAGCATAACTATCCATCCAGAGGTCGAGTTCACGTTATCGCCCTCTCCTTCGGAAATACTTTGCAGTGTTTTGTTTCTCGATTGACGACCCCTTGCCGTCGACGCTCCTTCGTCAAACATCCCGAAGAACAAAAATCCTCCCTGCGTGTTCATTCTAATTTGGTGGCATTTCTACTCTCCTGGCCCAGTGACTCATGTCTCAGTTTTGACGGTACTGCGGTGCGTGCCAGTGTGTGTGTTTGGAAAAATCGAGTCGCCCAGCCGACAAATTAAACGGGATTTCGAGAGTGTCAGGTAAAATTATTGCCAGTTGTGTTTATTAGCGCTGCCCCGGCCTGAAAACATCGGCCACAACAAACGTATCGCCGGTGTTTCTGACACAGGAGCATATTTTTACAGCCGAGTTGTATCATTTTTATCTACTTGCGTATTGTACAGGCGACGTCTATTAAGTACGAATTTTTGTCTGTTGGCACCGCGAGCAGAATTCTAATACGCGCCGTCTATTTAACTGTAACAACAGCCGGTGGTTCGCACGAATCAAAACGTGGCAGATTTCTTTATTTCGTACTCTTGCACACACATACATACACAATTACTTGAATATTTACTTCGGGACGTAGTCGGCTACTAGCCGTGCCGAAAACGTCGGCCGCCGCACGGCCGACTCGGATGTGTTGCAAGTAAAATCTTATTCCTAAGTGTGTTCCTGTGGAAAGTTCAATTTCGACGTTTCTGTTTCAGATGTCAGCTGGATCTCAGATACAGATGGCACCTCAGTCTACAGTAAACGCTACCCAACCCGTACATAGCCAAGACTCCAATATGAGTACAGGTACAGTTTTCCTTTTACTTTATTTTCCCTCGTACAGGGCGTTGCGTATGTTGTGGCTACTCTAAAATCGAAGCCCAAACATACATACCCTTTTATATTAAAATGGAAATGTGGTAGATACAAAGAGTAAAATGTACTTCGTTATTCGTTTGTCACTTATGGTTTTAAGGTTATGTTTACGTAAACAACTTACTACCTTTATGTACAATTATTTTCACAGAATTATTGGTTGCGGTAACAATACAGACGCATTTCTTTGTAATTACTTATTAAGTAATGAATATTCGAAAGTAGTTCCTTTAATTATTGTTTAAACTATCTCTGTTGACATTTGATAGTAAGCGTGACGTCAAGATATACCAACCAATTGCTGTGAAATCTGCAATGAACTAGCTGTTCAGATTATAACGTTCATTTTTATTAAATCCCAATTTCCTCCGAATAATTAAATTAATATATCAAATCAAAATCTGCTTGTTGACATTTTTCAAAAGAATGCCTATACCGTACGCGCCTAAAGTATGGAATAAATTCAGTAAAAACGAAACAAATTTTTTTTGGGAAAAATCCTCGAACAGGTCGATTTTTAATTTAAAAAATACATATTTTAGCATAAAAAGCGATTTTCAACCGTCATTTGTTTTCGAGTAATGACGTTATCGACATTTTTTTTAAATAGCAACCCCCTATTTTTTTTTTTTTTGGTTCTGAAAGATCGTTTCATTGTCGATGCGACAGTATTAAAATGTTGCCATCTTACATAGGAAAGTTTTCGAGTAAATGACGATTGAATGTTAGAAATTCCAAATCAATTAAACTAAATCAAAAACGTTATCAAATTTAATTTTTCGAAATGCCTAAAGTTTTTTATGGATCACGTAGGTGTAAACCTTTACAAAGTGCTACTGTCATACCGACTTTCTAAGTATTGTAAGCGATATAAAAATTATTGTTGAATTTAAATTATTATAACACATTTAACTGTCACACAAAGAATTGAAATTTTAATTCTTATCGGATGCGGGGATAAGACTAGAACGCAGCAGGAAGTTTGCGATTTATTTAATGAAAAACATCCAGATCGCCGTATCAGCCAATCAACAGTCAGTAAGATAGAATCTAAATTTAGAGAAACTGGCAATGTTGTAGATATTCCAAAACCTGGACGTCCAAGCGTTAGTGAAGATCACAAACAGAACATTTTGATAAGTATGGTAGATAATCCT